TATATATATATAAAAATATATCTATATATATATTATTTTTATACATACATAGATACATATAATATATATATGCACTACATTTTATTCTGACAAATCAGAGAAAAAGGTCCTGAATACGAGCCAATGTCACACTTAAACATCTTTAGTCTTAATTCTGTTTCCCAATCAATGCTTCTTTGTATAAGTTTGTCATAACATTTATAAAAAACATTGAAAGATTGCTTAAAGATGTTACTGCAATGTCCCAGCTGAGAAACAAAGTGCAAGAGTGTGCATAGTTTTGCACGCCACTATATGTCTGAAACCTGCAATACAGGAGCAACTCAAACACACGAAAAACGGTCAGTTCTTCTCTTTTTCTGCCACAGGGAGGAAGGACTACGACACCGATGAGAAGTGGATCGAAAAAGAAAGAGAACGGGCCAAGGAGGAGAGGGAGAGGGAGGAGAGAGGTAAGAGGACCCAGATGTGGACTTAACTAAACCTTTTGGAAAACATCTCTGTAAAATCAAATCAAAAACAATCTAGCTGCCAATGCACAAAATGCAGCCTGTGATCTAACAGCAGAAGTATTAGGAGCCAACATAGCAACAATCCAACATGTTCATTGTTTTCAGTCTCTCATAAGGGACTGCAGATGTATAAAGAGTCTAGCTTTAACTTGCACGAAAGAAACCAACCTTTCTTTAACCAAAACAGAAGGGAGATCAGGTGTACTGAAGGTTTAGAAATCAGTTGTGAGCTGAAGAGGAAAAAAATGCATCAACTGAAAAAAACGAAAACGCTTGGCTCAGATTGGAGTTATGTAAAAAAGAGACACCATGCCAGGGATTGTGTAAAATTCAAAGGATTCTCAATGCAATCAGTCACTGCTGCCACGTGTCTGCTGTGTTCATTCAGGCTTGCTGGTGTTCGGGGAGTAAAGCTCAGAGCAAATGAAAAATAACTTAGACTGGAAGAAGGTCAAAAGGCCACATTCAGCAGGCAGAGTCTGCTCCATCTTAGGTGAAAAGGATTTTTAGCTAAACTCATAGCAGATGTCTCCATAACTTAATGTTGTTGCTGGCGACACTGACCCACATCGCTGAAATCAGACCGTTAGAGCAAATATCAAAAGAAAACAAAAGAAGCTTATTTTAAAAAGGCATAATTTACTCACTAACGAAGGGTAAATTTGGTTAACCATCAGAGCTCCACTGATATTCACTTTATGGCAAACATGTTCATATTAATTGAACAACAACAAATATTATACATTTTTTCTTTTTAATTTATAAATGGAGATTAATGTCAGCCATACAAACCTTCTCTAATGGTTACAGAAACATAGAAAGAAAACAAATATCCAGTGGTTTTGGCCATGAAAATAACCCGACTGGTAACTGGATTACGAAGGCTCAATAATCATATGTTAAAACACTGGTTTGCAGAGAACCATCTGAATCAAAAACTTAAAGCATGTTGGTTAGAGCAGCAGGTGACCCCTGGATCTGCCTTTCCTCTTAGCTGAGAACAGGAAAATACAATTCAAAATCAATATCACAGCACTGGCTCCTTCATTCGGACTGCTGCTGGTGGGTCCTGGACCTTTTAGAACCAACCTCCTTGTCTCATTACTAACCCAGTACCTTCAAGACGTCAGTTTTATCCATGGCTGCTTTTACTAAACCTCAAATAATCAAGTTGTTTCTGAAACTTGACAATATTATATCATCATATGGCATCCATAGGCTGAGTCACGGGGGGGGGATCACAGATGAGACGCCAATTAGAAAAAGAAAAAAAATGTTTAGTGATCTATTCAATGTGGATCAAAATATATATAGAAATGGTTGTAAATTTTTGTAAATCCCTTTATCTCTTTATTGTCCCACAATTGTGAAATTCGATCTCTGCATTTTTATCATCCCCTTGGGGAGCAGTGGGCTGCCATCGTGCGGCGCCCGGGGAGCAGTGTGAGGTTAAGGATCTTGCTCAGGAACCCAGAGTGCAGGCTGTGGGGATCGAACCGAGTACTTGCAACCTTCTCAGAGCATTAGCGCACTCTAACCACTAGGCCGACGCTCCCCTTTTAAAATGAAAAACAAAGGAAGTGTTGAAGGTCTGACCGGGTTATAACAAAGATGGCTTGATAAACTAATTTTCAATGATTTCTTCTTTATTTAGGAATATAAGTAAGGAAGTTAAACTCATTGGTCTTACAATGGGGTATTGGTGGGTAGTAACTAGTTAGATTTACTCAGTTACATTTACCTAAGTAAAAAAAAGGCACTTTTAGGAGTAGTTGAACTTTACCATACTTTTTACTTTTACCCAAATAATATTCTTGTGGGAGTACTGCCATTCTTACTTGAATGACATTTCTGGTTACTTTACCCACAGTAAGTAACTAGGTCTATTTCAGATCTTCATCCTTTCCTGACATGTATGCATTACCAACTGTGAAGGTTTGTTTTATTTGTTTATAAGATTTTGATATAGAAAACCTTTTTTTCTGCTTGAATTTCTCATTTTGTAATCATGTTATTTAGTTTTTCTTACACAATTTTGACACATTAAATCACATTTGATGTCACAGATTACTAAGTATCTGCAAAACTTTTCCCCAAGTACTCTTTTACTCTTAGTTGAATAATTTCTTGGAGGACTACCTCTACTTTTACTTGAGAAAAAAGATGTTAAGGTAGTGCTACTCTTACTTAAGGTTTTTGGGAAATCAACCCAACTGTACAATAGGGAAATACATCAGAATGCACAGCAACAAACATAAACACAGTAGAGTTATTAATGCCTATCATAAACTAAGTAAAACTTTCTTGAAATAAAAATTAGTAGCTGCTTTTTAAAGTTGTCTAAAGTTTGTTAAAAAGCAAGCGATGCAATCCACAGTCTGCGTGCGAAGGATCGGACACCTCGGGTTCTGAGGCACAGAAGAACTGCTAAAAAGTTCTGAATGTATGACCTCAAACTGCAAATTTATTTCTATCTTTGGACCAAATCAGGGATAAACGAAGAAGCCTGACTGTGTTAAGCTTTGAAAGTTAAAATAAAACATTTTAAATGAAACCTCAATCTAACAGGTAGCCAATGCAGCGATTTTAGAACTCTGAGGCTGTTTAGGTGTATGTATCACATTATAAGGTCTGTTGTAAGGAAACTTGTGTTCCTCATAGTGTCAGTTACCGCCTATGGAACTGATGAAATATAATTTTCAATCATGGGGACATTGAGTTTGCATACACTTTGGACCATATTATACTGAATTATACCGAAGGCCAAATCATGACATCTGGTTTTGCTTTTAAATGTCTTTCTTCCACCAAACTCCAGCTCTTCATATCCCCAGGAGGGTATTTAGCAAATGCAAAAAAAAATGTTCCCAGACTGTTTATGGGTAGATAAATACAAAATACATATATCTATATATGCAGGAAAAACTGTCATTTATTTTTCATTCATGTGTTCCTCCGACCCCGATAGAACGAGCACAGAAACTGAAGGAGGCGGAGGAGCGAGCCAGGAACAGGCCGCGCGTTTATAAAGAACCAAAGAGTAAGTCGGTTTCCCTTTAAATCCTGAAAAGATGTTAAAAATCTGCCTTTATATAATTCCATCTCCTTCTTTATGTGTTTGCATGTGGCAGAATGTCCTCCACTAGGGATGGAGTCCCATAAGATTGAGCCAGACCAGCTCACAGCCTCCTCCGTGTCTCAGTATTGGTTCTCTCCTCAGAGGGCACGCTTAAACATCCAGGTACGACACAAGAGAACCTTTCAGCTCTGGAAAAAGCTGTAATAGCTGAGCCACCTACTTCTATTAACCACAGATTCCTATAAACAGCCAAGATATTAAATCCGAAACACACTTTGGCGGCCGATTCAAAGTTAGAAAAGCATATTTTTCAAATGAATGATGCTGCATGTTTTTAGTGAACAAACTGTGAGTACAGCAGAGAATCCAGAGGCAAACTATCTGGTCTCTGTGGTTCCCAGGGTTCAGAGGATGAGGACAACATGAGAGGTGGAGCGTGGTGCGCAAACTCAGAGGACAAGATCCACTGGTTTGAGATCGACGCTCGCAGGGAGACTGAGTTTACTGGAGTTATAACTCAAGGGCGAGACTCTCTGAATGAGTAAGGGTGCAAACTGGCATAGGCCCTTTCATCTCCATAATGAACTCCACATGATAATTATTTGATGTGTCATTGCAGGAGCGACTATGTGACGTCCTACTTCCTGGCTTTCAGCAACGACAGCAGAGAATGGACCACCATTCATGATGGATACGCAGACTGGGTGAGTTTCACCAAAAACTATGGTGTCCTCTCTTCCTATGACTCTGTCACCTCACATCTCCCCTCTCTCCTCCAGCTGTTCTTTGGAAACAGTGACAAAGACACCCCTGTCATGAACCGGCTTGCAGAGCCTGTACTGGCACGCTACATCCGAATCATCCCTCAGAGCTGGAACGGCTCTCTGTGCATGAGGCTGGAGGTCCTCGGCTGCCCTCTGCCTGGTGAGGCCCCCCTACACAGTAACCCTACTAAAGAGGAATGTTTTCTAATCAGTTCTTACTCTCAGATCCAGGACATGTTCTGCACAGACAGAATGAGGTGACTCCTGTGGATTACCTGGAGTTCAAACACCACAGTTACTCAGAGATGGTTGAAGTGAGTATCCCTGAAAGTGCAACCAAACATGCACAATACAATGAGTAACAAAACAACATTGCAAGCAATAGGATCAAACATTTTTCTCTTATTATACTCTATAAAATACTGTCTTAAATTTGTGCCTCACATACTAATTTACTGAGCTTGTTGAATGGAGTTTTACTGCAGCCCAATTCTCCATTGGACCCTGTATGCATACTCTAGTGTTTCTAAAAGTAATAAAATACACTAGCATGCAGTTTATTTACAGTAAAGGTGTCAAGTGGTTTATACTTTTTTTCAACAGAAATTTGCAAAGCTAAGCTGTAGAGCAAGAACAATAACAAATAAAAATAGGTTTGATAAAATAAGCATACATTAAATTTTCCACAAAAAAAAACATAATTGAACAAAAAAACAATAAAAATATTGAGCTTATCTTTGTTCTTATTTCAAAAAAACAAAGATATACAAGTAATGCCTTCTGCTTGGTTAAAGATATTTTAATGGGGGAAAAAAAATTTTTTTTTTACTAAATTTATATAGAAATCCTTTGCATTCAAATTAAAAACAAACAGTTGTTCTTGGAGGCCACCTAAGCAGACGCCTAGTCCGCTTATGCCACAGGCCGGCCCTGAAAATAGGTGAAACATCATTATTATTGGATGAGGATGTAAGAAGTGTGGGAAAAATTGGCAGTATTCAGAAAACCACAAATTGATTGCTTCTTAGTATAATTCAACCCTAATTTCAAATTAATATCCTCATATAGTTCAGGAAGACAGTGCTATTCTTTGATGATCTGATGACAAGGTTTGTTTTCTAACTGGTTAACTTCCCATGTGTTCTGTCTTCTGTTTCCTCCAGCTCATGAAGTCTGTGCACGAGGAGTGCCCCAACATCACCAACGTTTACAGCCTCGGCCGCAGTTCTCAAGGACGGGAAATCATGGCAATGATCATCTCTGTAAACCCCAATGAGCATGAAATAGGTGAGAGAATCAGCACGGCGAAAGTCAAGGCACCTCAAAGCATCTTTGCTGAGGTATTAGGAACCCTTAAGTACTTTAATAATTTGCTACATTATAACCGCAAACATCACTTTATGTCATTGGTATCTAATATGACAGAGCAACAGAAGATAGTGAATCATTGGGGAAGTGGAAATTATAGGATTCATAGGTTTTCACTTATCTGAATAGTGTGGCAGGCATTTACATCGATGCACAATCCTGGTGGAAGAAGAAAGACGCCTCTCCAAGGCAGGGCAAGTCTATTAATTCAGCACATTTCAGCACACAGATGATTCAAAGTGCTGTACATGAACGTGAATCAAATAACTAAATAAGCTGGGATTAAATTAAAATAAGATGATTATCAAAAAAGCATCGACAGGTAAGTGAAAGGAAAATTGTTCTGCAAACGTAACTAATAATGATCTAAACTGTTCCATTAAGGTATGGAGCATTGGATCATTCAGAGTTGCTCCCCTGAATATACATTTATCCTCTGGATTAACCTTTTTGTTAACAGTATATTAGGAGTCAGAGATTATCCTGCTGGACTTTGGTGCAACCATTTTCTCATCCAATGGGTGAGGAAGAAGGGTACCAGCATCCCTGTAAGCGTCCCATAACCCTTCATTCCTACATCGGATCACGATTTGAAAAGCTGAGATTATAAATCCATAAGAGTTTTGTAGAAGTTATAGCAAAGAAAAACTAGAATTAACTAACATCTGTTTTAATATCTCAGCAGTCTGATTGGGTAAAACTGCCTTTCCCAGAAAATATAACTGATGGTGTGTATAACAGGTTTACTTCATTGTATTTTCAGGTGAGCCGGAGTTTCGCTTCACAGCCGGCCTCCATGGAAACGAGGCGGTGGGGAGAGAGCTGATCCTGCTGCTCATGCAGTATCTGTGCAAAGAATACAAAGACAGGAACCCCAAAGTCCAGCGGCTGGTGGAGGGAATACGCATCCACGTGGTGCCCTCCCTCAACCCAGATGGGCACCAGAAAGCTTTTGAGGTGGTGAGTGGAAGAACAAACAGTCATATGTCCCAAATTATTCTCTAAAAACAAGAGGAAAAGAAAAACAGGAAACGGTGATGAATCAGAGTAAGCAGTTTTTCTTCAATGTGCTCATTATGTTTTTTTTTTTCTCCTCTTCCCTGCTGCAGGGCTCAGAGCTCAGCAGCTGGACCACGGGGCACTTTACTGAGGACGGCTTTGATATCTTCCAAAACTTCCCGGATCTGAACAGCATCTTGTGGGAGGCTGAGGATAAGGGCATGGTGCCTAAACTCACCCCCAATCATCATGTTGCCATACCAGATAACTTTGAGTCAAATACATCGGTGAGAATTAGCAAATACATCTTCAGATGCTTGCTGTTGTGGTTTTAATTTTTAGATGTCTAACCAACTTTATTTTTGGAAGATAAAGGTTTGTCTAATCTTTTACTTTCTGGTTTTGCTGCAGATTGCTATGGAAACCAGAGCCATAATCTCCTGGATGAAAAACTATCCATTTGTGCTGGGTGCAAACTTCCAAGGCGGAGAGTCAATTGTGGCCTATCCTTATGACAGCTTAGGTATCAACAAGCCGGTCGACAGCCAGCAAGCCCGCAGCCGCAAGAAGAGACAGTATGACATTTCCTCTATGACTCTATTGTCCTCTTTGCATAAATGTTTCTCAGGTGGCTTTGCTTTGCAATTCCCCCTTCCATGTCTGCTATAAAAATAAATTACTCTGTTAATGTCTTCCCAGGTATGAGGAAGAAGGTTACGATGTGACAGAGTGGGGAAGGGGATACCAGGAGGAGCCAGAGGAGGACTGGAGAACTCGAGGATATGCACAGCCGGAGGACGAGTGGAGGGGTCATGGGTATGACAACGGATATGAGCCCGGATACGACCACGGCTACAGCCATGGTTATGGCCACAGGGAGGAAGAGGAGGACGATAGAGGGCAGGGGGGTGGATACCAGTACGCTGAACCTGAAGACGAGCCCAGGGTGACTCCAGACGAGTCCCTTTTCAGGTGGCTGGCCGTGTCGTACTCCTCCACACACCACACCATGTCGCACAACTACCATGGATCCTGCCAAGGAGGTACCCCCTCAGGGGGGCTCGGCTTAGTCAACAGGGCAAAGTGGAAGCCAGTCACTGGGAGTAAGTAGAAAGCTTGTAGCGCACCCTGGTGGACATGATATTCAATGCATGTTGTCAGACGGGTCCTCTGCCCCAAATGTGAGCAGCTGCCTGCAGCACCTGGGAAACGTTCCCAAACCGAGGGTCTCACTTAGGACCCCACAACGGGTAGCACCCTTATTTCATCAACTTTAAGAACTTCCTATTTTTAATATTTAGACTTTAATTTGGAGTTCAGCTTTCTTATTCTTATTTTCATTACACCATCACAAATACAGAGCAATGAAATGAACTCTTTCCATTTAACCCATCCCCTTGGGGAGCAGTGGGCTGCCATTGTGCGGCACCAGGGGAGCAGTGTGGTGTTAAGGATCTTTGCTCAGGGACCCAGAGAGGCAGCCTTCGGGCTTGAACTCAGAACCTCTGGATTCCAAGCGCAATGCCCCAACCACAAGGTCGCCCCTCCCCCAACCAAGTCTTTTTTTTTTTTTTTTTTTAGGTTTTTGAAAATAAAAACAAAGTGGCTCAGGCTCTGCAGCTACAGCAGCCTCAACTCTTTTAGAATTCAAGAGATTTTTGCTCTTCAGCCATGTTGACACGATGAACACTGCCCTCAAAGCAGCATATCTATAGGAACCGTTTTCCATTCTTTGCAAAGCTTTCTTAAGATCAGGCACTGATGTGGGATGAGATTTTAGTCTCAGTTTGTCCTAAAGTTCCTCTCAGGTTTAGGTCAGGACTCTCTTATCCACATCTGCATGTCTGGGTCGCTTTGTGAACTGGTGCACAGCCATCTTAGACTAGGAAGGGGACTTCAGCCAGTTGCTTCCATTAAAATGTCTACAATGTCTTTAAATACTTTAACCGTTATTGGCCAAGTTCCTGGCAGCAATCTGTTAAAAAAAAAAAAAGAAATACTCTATATGGGCTGGTGCTTGATTTTCATCATGGGGCTATGAAAGTAACTGGAAAACTAATTCAGTGATTAAACTAAGATGATCTTATGTTTCACTTGCTGAGGACAAAACAGCTTCAACTCACGTTATCTGTGATCTTCTGTCCAGGTATGAATGACTTCAGCTATCTTCACACCAACTGTTTCGAACTCTCCATATTCCTGAGCTGCGATAAATTCCCCCATCAGAGTGAGTTGGCACAGGAGTGGGAGAAAAACCGAGAAGCAATGCTCACCTTCATGGAGCAGGTGGGTCACAAGAATGCAACCTAATCTGGGTGCGAGGCCGTTACAGACCAAGATTTCAGGACTGATTGTGTTTTAAGTCTTCCAAACCCTGGAGAGACAATGTCTTACCTTAAAATTACCTCCTGCCTACTAGAAAAAATGCTGTTTTAGGTCTAAAATAGACTCAGCTTGGATTCTGGTCGTTCTTTTACTATTATATGAAATCTGAAAACAGTTTAACAAACGATGTCCTGAGATGGAAAAAAATATGTCCTTCTGAAGTGGGCTTTTTGAAAAAGCAGAATTCCAGCTTGCCACTGAAGTATTCAGACAAATTATTAATCAGTAAGGCAGGAGTTCATCTTACTAATTCTTCCCTTTTGTGCCGACATCCCTTTTCTCCAGGTGCATCGTGGCATCAGAGGCGTTATTAAAGATCAGCAGGGGAATCCTATCGCAAACGCCACAATATCCGTGGAGGGGATTAACCATGATGTCACCTCAGGTGACGACACATGTTTCACATTTAAAACACAATCCCAGTCCGTTTTTTAAGTTTAAACACTAATATCTCGCCTGTTCTGCATTGCAGCCCCAACAGGGGACTATTGGCGACTGCTGAACCCGGGAGACTACCAAGTGACAGCGAAGGCGGAAGGCTTTTCCTCTGAGACTAAACTCTGTGTGGTGGGCTATGAACCTGGAGCCACTGCCTGCAGCTTCAACCTTGCAAAGTCCAACTGGGATCGTATTAAACAGGTAAAGCTCTGACCTGACCTCTAAACTTATCAAATTTAAGAGGTTAACCAATGCCACAAATTGATGTTCAATGTTTTTTTCTTCTGTTTAAATAAGAAATGATGTGCATGTTAAAGGTGATGGAGACAGGAAACACCTGCACACCTCTAGCTGTTCTTTTACTTTTTTTTAGACTGATTCAGGGTTGAATACGCTGCAACAAGAAAATGTAACTCCAATATCTGTCTAAAGGTGAAGCGTGGTGGTGGCAGCATCATGCTGGGTGGATGCTTGTCTTCATGAGTGACGGGCATTGATACTGATATGGGACACCCAGCTCCAGTGTCCTGCAATACACAGCTGATTAAAAAGGCTGACTACCTCCTCAATATGGCATTTACCTCTGCTGTAGCCTTCCAACAATATTTAGAAGTGCAAAAACAGGCAGGACAGCAGCCTTATACAGACCCAATCTGTGCCAACACCTTTAACATCTGCAGTATGCCAGGGTTCCTACAGCATAAGGCAAGTTAAATTCAAGACTTTTTAAGACTTTTTAATGCCACTTGAAATAAAAATTTAAGACCAAATTCACAAGAAAGACCTGCTTGCAACAACTTAACTCAAAGGTTTATTTTAACATAAACCACTGCACTAATGTTTCAAATTTTGAAAAGCTTCCCATACAAGAAGAAAGCTAAAAACACACAAATGATAGATATATTTTAACAATTATTTAACTGAATTCACAAACTTTGTTTTGCAGAGACAAGGGTGGAACAAAACCGAGAAATACCGGCTGTTTCTCTGCAACTCGATTTTGACGCTTTGTGTTTGGCGCTTTGCATATGCGACTCCACTGCCTTCATTCCCATCGTTCCGAGCTTGAATGACTTCTTGCACTAAAACTCTTGGCTGGAGCCAATTTTGGTTACATTTACACTTGCTCACATTTTCCAGACAAAAAGTTAATGGCCCATCTCCCAAATGTCCCGGCTGCAACAACGCTTTTATTGGTTCCGCTATCGGGACGGAAGCAATAATGGCGATCAATTTTTTTTTTTTTTATGAAAAAAAACAAAATTATCAATTTTAATGTTTTATTTAGATTACAAAAATAAATCGTAATAAAAATAATCCTATTTATGATGTTTTAAAAATTAAGACCTACAAAAGACTGATTTAAAACATTTTAATACCAATTAAGGCCTCAGTTTTATTTTGAAGAATTCAATGCCTTTTAAGACATTTTAAGGACCCGCGGGAACCTTGGTATGCTCTCCATCCAGTCTCAGTGCCTTTGAACCATGTATAATTTGTTCTTCAGTGTTACAGTCACCTGCATATATTTTTTTTTACTGTAATTAGAAAGTTCAAGGCCCTCTCAGCTCCAACATTGCGGTTTACATAGATTTCTTCTCTCCGCAGATCATGGCCCTTCATGGGAACAAGCCCATTCGACTCAGTTACAGCAGCTCCAGAGTGCTCTACCCTCCAGGCAGCAGTATCAACAGACTTGTGACAGATGTCAGCGGCAGGAATCCTTCAAACTTAAGTCCTGAGCGAAGGAGGAGGCTCATGCTCAGACGCATCCGCCGTCTGCGGCAGCAGAAGTTGCTGAGGTTGAGATCGACGACGATGCCCACGACGACAACGACTACAACAACAACAGCGGCGACAACAGCTCCCACTACGTCGTGGTACGACTCGTTTTCCTTCGGGGAGGGAGAATCCTTCACACCTGGCCTGGATTACAACTATGAGTACAAGATCGACGACTACTAAAGCCACAGGTTTATGATCCTAGCTCTTTGTGGGTCAATCCAATTTTCCATAACAGAAAACAGTGAATTTTCACATAACTACAGTAATAATAAAACATGTTACCAGAAAGATCCGTTCGGTCCAGAGTCTGCGCTGTTATTTTTGCTCCTTTTGTAAAATGTATGCTTCATGGAAAGATGTTTATTGTGAACTTACATTAAAAACAAACAGCTGAATTATTTACACCGCCGTCCATTGTGGTTTTTTTTTAAACAAAACAAGTCGTCATTTTGGCACAGTTGAGCCCAAATAAAACTGATAGTAAACAGTGAGTCTTGTATAGCACCTAGTCTTTGTTACTGGATGATCAGTTATAACACCTTTGACCCGAACAGGAAGAAAAAAAATAATAATCTGGAGATCTTTAGTCCAACTGATCCAGAGAGGAGGGGTGAATATTGTTCTGTTAATGACTGACATTCATCTCGCTTTCTTCATCTTCGTCAGCAGAGAAGGCAGAGAAGAAAACCGGCTCGCACTGCAGGGTCCGTAGATTGACCAGGCAGGCGGTCTGGGTGCTGCTGAAGTCTGGGACGGTGACCAAAAGGACTTCCTGACCATCAGAACCTAGCAGGAGACAAACATTGAAGAACGTACTGATCATTTGTGTGTCATGTTTGTAAAACACACAGTAAAGCGGACACTTCCTACTCAAACTGTTAAAGATCTCTGTGCTTTTTGAATCAGCATAATCTACAGGCAAACGGTTGGTTAAATGTACAGGTGGCACATCACAGGTGGCGGTAAGGATAAAAAAAATAAAACAACCTATCCGAAGCTGGAAAACGGTAAAATAAAATCAAACATATAATCAGGCAGCGAAGGAACTCTGCACACCAACCTTTGACGAGTTTGGACCCAAAGACTGGAGCGTTGCCACTGAAATAGACGTGTGGACAGTCCTCCAAGATGAACGGGTCTCTCTGATAAAACGGGTAGCAACCTAAAACAAAAAATACTGTGATTAAATGTGTAGACTGACAAAGCAATACCACTTTGCTCTCTTTGCCTCTTCACAGTAGAAAACAAGCCCCATGTCTTCAGTGTCTTCGTTTGATGTTAAAGGAATAGTACACCCAAAACATGATTAGCCTTCATTTTCTACTCACCCCCATGCTGAACAACACTCTGGAGTACTTTTTTGATATCTCAAATGCATCTGGAGATCTGGGAGGCTTCTTGCTGTCTGCTGACATTCAAATAATGGAGGTCTATGGTGCCCGAGGCAGAAAGGTCCATAAAAGTCCACAAAAAACGTGTCAATATTCCTCCATACTGCTCGTCCAATGTATTCCAAGTGTCCTGAGTGGGTAGCATCCAGAATTTACTCGAAACAAAGTCATTTAGAATGTTTTTAGAGCATAAACAGTAGTGTAAAGGATTTCCTGAAAGCGCGCGCCTGCGCGTTCACGACGCTACGGAAGCCGGCAGACCAAACCAGACGAAAGTGCGCATTCAGCGTCTGCTCTGCCGATAATGCAAGCGTAGAAGAAGAAATGTGCTGTTTACCTGTGCAAAGAAAGAAACAACGAAAGAAAAATGTCTGAGGAATTCAGTGTTGAGGAAGAGCATGAGTTCTTTGCCGAGCTGAATGCGCACTTTCATCCGGTTTGGTCTGCCGCGGTTTCCGTAGCGTCAGGAACGTGCAGGCGCACGCTTTCAGGAAATCCTATACACTACTGTTTATGCTCTAAAAACGTTCTAAATGACTTTGTTTCGAGTAAATTCTGGATGCTACCCACTCAGGACACTTGGAATACATTGGACGAGCAGTATGGAGGAATATTGACACGTTTTTTGTGGACTTTTATGGACCTTTCTGCCTCGGGCGCCATAGACCTCCATTATTTGAATGTCAGCAGACAGCAAGAAGCCTCCCAGATCTCCAGATGCATTTGAGATATCAAAAAAGTACTCCAGAGTGTTGTTCAGCATGGGGGTGAGTAGAAAATGAAGGCTAATCATGTTTTGGGTGTACTATTCCTTTAAGCATGACAGTCGAGCAATCAGTGAAAATCAGAAACTGTGCAGAGAACAATGCCCAGCATTGTGATCTGAATCAGGATCCAAAATTAATTATGTTAAACCTTAAAGCTCCGCCTCGTATATTGTCAAGATCCCTCTGTTGTCTCCCTGGTCATCTTTGTAAACATACCCTATATCTGAACCTCATTAGTGATATCAAACGGTTAGCCATAGAAACCCCCCAGCTACAGGGGACCTGGCAGTAAAAGCCGCATAAAAGCTAACACAACCTATAGTTATATTATATATAATAATATCTATATATGCTAATATATCTACATCAGAGTGCATAAGTTTAAATCTAACTTAACCAACCTAGGGTATCCGGAGCGGTGGGGGCCAGGTGTCGGAGCCGAAGCGTTTCCTCCAATATCTCCAGATGGCTCTCCATGCTGCTGTACCTCCTAATGTCACAGACGTTCTGACCCGACGTACCCAAGAACCTTGGCAGAAAGAAATCAAAACAGATTGTGATCTGAACAATGGCTTCCTGACGGGACAGAGAGCGTTGGTTCAGGAAACCTGACCTACCTGACTCCGTCGATGTTTGCGCTGTACGGATTGGAGACCAGCTGCAGTGTGGGGTATGCAGAGGACAGAGGAAACATGCATTTGTGAAGGGGCTGCTGCGGCAGGGTGTAGTTGGTGGGGTCACACTCCCCTGGCATCACATCTACTGGAACGGATGCCTTACAATGAGCAAGAGGAGGAAACACGCATCAGATATATGATCAAAGAGTTATTGACATTTAAACTGAAGATGATTGGAAATAAATATAAAATAATATTAAAGTTAAACTGTTGAAAAGCTTCAGAAATGGAAAAGTTCAAAACAGGCTGCAGTTTGTAAATTTCATTCCAATATTTGGTTATTTCACAAACAAAGTTGGACCTCAACCAGAAGAGCTGATAACACCTGATACCTGCTGTCAATAAACTCCTAAACATCAACTGAAACTTATCTGTTCTTTTAACACCATATCACTATCTAACCATTTTATAACAGTTACTATACAACCCTTGCTCATTGTGCCCCTCTTCACTTTCTCCAGCAACAGCACAGTTAGAGCGTCCCAGGAAGATGCAGACTCACCACCAGCTGCAGCAGCAGTTCATCAAGCAAACGCATGGCTTCCACGCTGCCTGCCTGGGTCTTCTTAGTCAGATACTTAGGCTGAAAAATAGCATAACAAATGTAGAGTGTTTAATGTTTAACGCCATCAAACAACCATGTCATTGCTTGTGCTATGTTGAGCCTTCTAACTTGAAATATGTCCAAAAAATTTACTTTCCCTTAAATAAAAAAAGCATTTTATTAATATTCTATATCATGGGTATAATTCATAGTTGACCTTTCCAACTCACTGTGTGTGTTGTTTGTGTTGTGAACGACAACTGTGTAAAATTTCTAATCTCTAGTCCTGAGCACAGTGAAATTATCACCTTTTTTGTATGAGGAAGGTCCACTCGGCCCAATTGATTCAAATAACAAAACAATTGTTAATGTTAATATACCTTTACATAAATGCTCATTGCAGCATTTTCTTTTTTAATATTTCAGATTTTCAGCTTTCAGAAATGTGACTTTTTCTATGCATATCTGATTGGTTCTCCTCTTTTCTTACTCCTTATGTAGGTTTTACTTCATTGCAACTAGGGCTGAAACAATTAATCTGATTAATCGAAATTAATTAAGTATTGAAATATACCTCAACTAAATTAGTAATCAATCTGGAGTGTAGAGACTCTAAAAAATGCCTTTAGCTGACAGAGCGACCACTTAGAGCAGTATTCCTACCAAAATTGCAAAAAAAAAAAAGGTAAGGTTAAAAAAAATGTGTGTTAGTCAATATGCTCTATACAGAACTACTCAAGTGGAACATTTGTTATTTCACCTGGTTTAATTCTGTAAAAAGTCTTTTTTAAGGAAGCTTTGGCTATTTGATTAATCAAAAACATAATCGACAGAATAATCCATTTGCAAAATAATCGTTAGCTGCAGCCCTAATTGCAACAATAATCTTATTGGCCAACAAAAGATGTCAATCAAAGCTTTATGGGTGACTAAGTTGTGGGGTTATGGAGGAATTTTACAAACCAAAGTTACAACTGATATAGGGAGCAAACAGATTGGTGAATATGCCCTGTAGATAATTTGCCGGACATCCATAATTACACACATAAAATATGTCTTATCCTTTTATTTTCACTTTAACATAGGAAAAAATTTACTTTAGCGGATTATTACAACACGGGATTTTATTTTATGAGAAATGAAACTGGACATCATTTTTTGTGGTATTTCTTGGAATGCCAGAAGGCAAAAGCAGGTAAAATGTTAAATTTATTAATTATAATTTGATGACAGATTGTTAGTTATTGATGTTTGTGGAGTGTAGTTGGCCTACACTTTAGTTAATGGTTGTTTTCTTAAGGATTGTCCTATTCTGAATAGGGCTGAACGGTTTTGCCGAAAAGGAAAATTGGGATTATTTTAAACAAATGTTGCAGTTGTGATTTTATTTCAATTTTCCTGTGCATCAACCAAAAGCACGTAAATGTTTAAATTTTTTCATGACCCGAAAAGATTACTTGTCCAGTCCTTTGTTGCAGGACTTTAGTGGAACCTTTTGTTAAGTAGTGATAAATTCCACTTGTATGAATAGATTTGCATGCTAGGTGCACCTCTCTTCCTGTCTGTGTGGTTGCGAACCCACTTTAAGCATATTTCCACCAGCTAAAGAGCTAAAGGGATAAATTTAGCAACTTAATCTTTTTAGATTTAAGATGACCAAAATGTATTGTCTTTGCAATTTGAAAATTGTGATTGTTAAATTGCGATTATATTGTAAATGCAATTAATTACCCAGTACTAATTCTTAAATGTAAAACATGTTGGATTTTATTTAGAAAGAAGCCTGTCATCCCAGTGGGTGGAACTAAAAGGGTTTTAAACCAGATTACAGCGAAAATATTTCAAAAAACTGCAATTCTTCACCTTTGTCGATGCATCTTTGTCCTGGGTGCTTTGGCTCAGGAGGTTTCCAGCAAGTAGGACCCTGGAAATGGTCGCCGCCCCGCTCTGCTCTCCCGTGTCCCCGAGCTGACCAGTTACCATGTCCACCAGCAGCTGCAGACCCAGCATGCTGTCCGCCTTG